AAGGTTTTCCCCCCACCCTCCCAATTTGCATGAAAGTGGAGTCGGTTGCTTCATGTCCTGTCTGTCGCACACCTCCTCCGTATCAGGTTTCCATCTGCCTTCAAAGTATCTTCATTGAGTGGGAGTCAGACCTGACCAAAGATCTTACGTCTCAAGCCTCAGTCATTTTAGCATTGCACATGCTGTTTTCGCCTTTGCCACATGACGGCTGCTTGCAATCTCCACCAAGCCAGCTTCTCAAATTCCCTTTAGTACATATTACTTGGAGTTCAGCAAGATTCTGCCCATCCCATGAGACTTTTTAGTCTTCAGCTTCTTTCTTCTCTTATTGATCTTTAAAAAGAAAAAAATGGGGGGGGGGAACAGTGAAGTTCCCGGTGTCTATATTAAATTTGAACGAAACGTCAACTGCAACAGGCCTGAGAGATTTTGGCAGAGGCTTTTAGTGTCTATCCATGAAATGCTCCTGTCACCTTTTTTCTTCTCCTTTCCTTATTATCTCTTTCCTGTCTTGTCATTTGCTTTGTCTCCTCCATGGCCTTTAGGACATCTCTCCTTCCTGTGAAATTTGCTGTTAGTTTCGTCACAACATGCCACAAAACGGCTTGGCATTTTGAAGAAGAAATCAGGGTTCTCTAGAACTTAGCACTACAGAGCTTATAGAACTGAATCCAGCAGGGATCTTGCAGGATTCTACATGGCATCTTCTAATGGCATTATGTTTTTAATCAGCTTTCTTTACTAGGCACTTAGGCCTGGGGGTATCCATCAGGGTGCCCTTGAGATGTTTTGGACTCCCACTCTTATTGTCCCTGGCCATTGGCCAAGCTGACTGGAGCTGGTGAGAGTTTATTTAGTTATTGTTCTCCTTACAATAATATCCCTCCTTTCCTGCGAGGAGCTAAAAGTTGATGTGCTTTTCCCTTCCCATTTTGTCTTCTGGTTAGCCTGACAGAAAGTGAGTGGCCGTGGACACCCAGTGAGATTCATGGCTGGGTGGGGATTTGAACTTTAGTTTCCCAGGCACTAGTGGAAATATCTGGAGGGCACCAGCTTGGCTACTCCTCCACTAGCCACTTATCTGCCAGTAACTTCCAGGCTGATATGAAGCTGAATTTGATTTGGTTTTGGATTCAATTTTTTCCATGTTATCAGGTTACTAATGAGCAACTTTTCACCAATTACATCAAAAGGTGGGGAATCTTTTTAAGTCCAAGAGCAACATTTTTTCACCCTGCCCCCCCCCCACCCCCGGAACTTTCTGGGGATCGACATAACAATAGTGGATGAAGAAATGAATGCAAATTTACCTTTATACTGTAAGCTAGTGACTACTATGTACACAGTCCTCTCTATCCTGTCTCCAGTCAAGCAAAACCCTCAGAGTTCAAAGATACATTCCACACAGGGGAAAACATAACTGAAGTAATACACACAGCTGCCTAAAGCCTCCTCCTACCTCCAAGGTAGACTGTTAAGTCCAGGGTCTGAAATTCCTTAGTTGCACCATGGGATCAATGCAATACAGAAACCTTCCTTGTCCACACGAAGACATGGTCCACCATAATGAGAGGTATTTTGCTTATGATTATCATAATGGGTATGCCTGTCCCTGTTTCAAGCCATGTCCCTATGTGCATCAGCAAAACCCAAGTCATTTTATGCCTGTGACTTGACAGGCTACGACGAGTGAGCTTGTGAGCAATGGGCAAGAGCTGCCTTCCTATCCAGTTGTCCCCTGATTTTGCAAATGCCAGCTCTCTGTGCCAGCTTGGTAAACAGCTGCTTACTAGCTTATTTATCCCCTTGCAATCATCAGGGGAGGATATGCCACATCTTGTTGACAGCAACCACCTGAAAAGTTAGGGATGAGAGTGAAGTGGGGATAAAGCCAGGCAGGCTGTGAGGGGTGGGGTGGGGGAAACATGGAGGAGTTAGCACACATTGGGAAAAGCTAGAGGAGTCAAGAACACTCATCCAATATTCAGTGACATGGTGTCAAGACACAGATAGGGGTAGAACAGTAATTAAAGTAAACAGCGCATCAAAGTCTTGGCTAAAGTCATTATTTAAATAGAAAGTAAATGTAGAAACAGCTCATGTAGCTTTATGGAAAAAAAGGTGTTACCGAGAACCTTTGGAGAATATTAATGATGATGGAAGCCGAAAGGTTGAATATCAATGCCTTCCTCTTTATGACATCTGACTGTGCGGAGAGATGGCAAGGGAAGCAGACCCACCCCTCCACTCTGCAGCTGACTAAAACTGCAATCCTATACTCCAGGGGTGGCTAACCAAAGGCTGTCCATGTGTCCCTGAGCTGCATCTCCCACCATTCCTGACTATTGGCTGTGCTGGCTGGAGCTGATGGGCATTAAAGTTCAGCAACTCTTGGAGGGCTACTGGTTAGCTACCCTTGCTGTTCACAATTGTAAGGCCAAATGAACACAATGAGACCCATTTGATATGTAACGAAATGTCTGAAGTGTTAAGCCTTTTGAAGTGTTCATCCAAATACTGTACTTTTCCGTATATAAGACGACCCCATGTATAAGATGCCCCCTATTTTGGGGGACTAAAATTAAAGAAAATGGGGGAAGATTCCTTTTTGGAGAAGATTGCCCAAAGTTGTTGAGCCATTTTTTTGGGGGGGGGGGGGAGATGCGAAAAATCACTCATTGAGAAAGCCAAATTGCTGAAGTGGCAGTCAATCCAAAGCAGCCTTTGCCGCATCCGCAAAGAACCCACCAAACTGACAAAGCAGCAGCTAATACAAAGCAGCCCTTGCATCAGACACCATTCATCCACCCAATCGCTAGATCCTGCTTGCAGCTGCAACCAATCGCCCATCCGCCCCCATGTATAAGATGCCCCCCCTTTAACTTTATTTTTGAGTAAAAAACCCTCATCTTCTAGATGGAAAAGTATGGTACCTGATTGGTTATTTCTAACCTTCAAAGTTTTCCCCAAATTGGAGTACTAGGGGAGGTTGGGTTCAAGGTGGGTACTCACGGTTAAGACGGAAGTGCAACATCTCAAAAAACAAGGACAAGGCAGGTCTCATAGCCTAGTCTAATCTTTACGGTAAAGTCAAATCCAGTAGACCAATCAAGACTTTATGGGGGATTGTGGTGGGAGAACATGGCAGTTGCCTTCCTCATGCCAGTGTTTAAGAACATAAGAGTGAATTCCATAGTTTAACTATGGGTTGTGTGAAGAAGTCCTTTCTGTCATCTGCCCTGAATCCCTGGGCATTCTCAGATAATTTCTGAGTTAATCCAAGATGAGCTTGCGACTACTCACCCATTTCTTTTCTGATCTTCCCTATTTGTGCTTTTAACTGCTATGCCAGTAAGATGATGAACCCTTTGCCACATAATTCTATTCATGTCTATTCAGAAGTCCTTTGAATTAAATGAAAACTACTCTCAGGTTTGCTGTCTTAGTGGGTTAATTCATTTTTTGCCGTTATAGCTGTAAGGATAGCCCAGAGAACACTTTCTCAGTTATAGTGGTAAAAGCCATCCACCTATATTAGGCTTCTATTAGGATTGTATTGGTTACTAAGACTCTGGACCATGCCACTCTGCATTTAGTTGGAAGAATATAGCTGTTGTTTAGAACATCTCCCCATACTCATTTCAAGTTCCCTTTATTCTAAATGCACTAATGGATTTGGTGGTCTTGATGAAGCCTCTGGGATTGATTGGTTGAATTTGCCTTAAAACCACAGACTGAGCCAGACCAAGTGTCTCTGGCTGCCATTGACTTGAGCTGCTCCTAAGCTTAATGGTTTGTCGTTCCCATTGACTGGACTTCTTAGATCCTACCAAGAGGCAGTTAATACAACAGACCTAAAGAGGGGAAGAAGAATAAGTTGCCTAAGAAAAGAAGAGACCAGGGAGCCTGGGGGGGGGGGATAACCCTTGAAAATATTGGCCCCGAGTCATGAGGGGAAAGAGCAGGAGACCAGAGGGTGGCATCTGAGAGAGAAAGCAAACTGGGCATGGCAATGATCAAAAGTGGAGAGATACGTGTATCTAGAATTAGCTCTTACATGAGGTAGTGATGGCCACCAATTTAGATGGCTTTAAATGAGGATTAAACAAATTAATTGAGGATAGGGCTATCAATGGTTACTAGCCATGATAACTGTATACTATCATCACTGTTAGAGGCAATATGCCTCAGAATATTAGTTGCTGAGAATTGCAGGCAAGGAGAGCACTTTTGCACCCAGGTCCTGGTTGGGGGCTTCTCATAGGCATCTGGTTGGTCACTGTGAAAACAGCATGCTAGACAATATTGGCCTTTGGCCTGATCCAGCAAGGCTCTTATGTTCTTTTCTTATAAGTGCACGCATTTCAGTTAGGCTGGCAGAAAAACCTTGAAAAGGGTTTTTTTATTTGTTTTGTTCTGAAATATCTAGGCATGGCTCATAGGTTAGATAAGGAGAGTGCTTTGACATAGTTATGCCTTCATTTATTGGTGGCCTGTGAGATGATGCAGAGAAATGTCCAGAACTCCCTTGTGTGTGTTTGGCTCCATCCATGAAAAATTGCTGTCTGCCTCCACCCTTGGGCTTCAAGCTATTCCACTTAATACGCTAGACACTAAAATGACCCCTTTGTTTGCTTTATGATCGCTTCTGATAGTGCGCTATGCCAGAGATATCATATCTTTGATCTCTCCACATGGATGTTAAAGCTCTCTTGAGTTCAGCAGCAACTCCTTGAGATTAATACTTCATGGCGTTCTCAGCACCATGCTGTCCTAACCCATACATCACGGTATGTCGTGCCTGGCACAAGCCTCCTGCCTCAGTGGCATTGTGCTGGCAGGATAAATAACCCTTGGCTGGCCCCATTCTCTCCCTCCTGCCGCCCCCAATCACTTTGCTATGCACAAAGAGTTCAGCGAAGGCAATGGAGCCAGTATGAGGACTGCAGAGAAGCCCAATGTAGGATTCAAGGTCCATGGGGGTGGTATGGGCTGTATTAGCAAAGGTCCATAGCTCAGTTGTATAGCATCTGTTTTGCATACAGAAGGCTCCAGGATGAATCCCTAGCACCTTTGTAAGCCAAGAGAGCCACTCCTAGTCAGTGTAGACAATACTGAGCTAAATGGACCAGTGGCCTGACTCAGTTCAAGGCTGTTCCCTGAGTCTGTTCCCGTGTAACTAAGAGACGCCTGATGAACGTAGTAAGTGACCCATGGAAACTAAGAAAATTTTCATTTTTATTTTTTTTAAAGTCTTCCATTGCCAAGAAAGACGAGTGCAGCAGTGCAGCAGTTTCTCTGAGATGCCTTTATAGGGAACGACAAACCAGTGTACCTCCAGGGTGCCCATCTGCCTCCTAACTCATTTCAGATCTCATCCATTAGATGAATGAATTATGATGAAAGTCACTTTTTCCACCTTGGCTTTGTTGCTATTGTTTTGGCCTAGGTGTGTTTGTTTTCTTGGGAAATAGGGGCATGCAGTGATTTTGTTTGCAATCTTGGCTTTACTGATCACAAAATATGCATTCCACCCCCTTGGTGAGCATGAGAGAAGGTTAAATGGATCTTGATCCTGTTCAATGGAAGCTTTTTACAGTAGAGGCACTCCACTCCAACCAGGGCTGCAGGAGTGCAAAGCGCCCACTCAGCATCATAGATTTATTTTTATTTATTTATCTATTTTAAAAGAGAGGGAGAGAAAGATTCTGGTGCACAGCTGTGAATCCCCCTCCTCCTCCTCTCTGTCTTGAAGAGGAAAGCTTGAGATAAATTTAACCTAGTCTCCTGGAAAATGAAGGCAGCAATGGCTTCTGCCTGTAAACTCCCCTCTTGTTTGCAGGCATGCCAAGTTTACTCTTTGCTCATGTCAGATTTCATAAACCAACAGGGCTTCAGGGTTGTTGTTTTTTTTTAAAAAAAAAATGTGGTTGGAAATTTACTTATTTAGTTCAATTTATATCCTGCCCATTTCAGAGGACTTGAGCCAGCAATCAGCAGTTTTAAAAGGGAGCAAGACATTAAGCCAGAATGCTAGAATTAATGTATAAATTATATCAAGTTGAACATTAAATCCTCCTCCGCTCTGGCTGCTGAATGACAGCTTACTGAGGGGACTGTGTTTTGCTGCCCAGATGTTGTATGCATGCTCAGTATTGTGCAAAGCTCTTTTGATAGTACATTGAAATATTGCTAAGTTGATTTATCAGTGTCCAGATTTGGCTTATTATCATGAGCCAGGCCATCCAGCACTTTATTGGCTGCTCTGACTAACAACAAGTCTCTGGGTCTTTCCCAGTCCTGTTTCCTGACACCCTAGAAATGCCAGGGACGGAAGCTGGGAACTTCCCTCTTCAGAAGCCATGCCCCTGACAGTGAGCTATGGACCTCCCCCTCAGCATTCTAATCTTCTACAACAATAATCCAAAGTGTGGCTTTGTTTTTCAAGCTGAAATTGCAGTGTAGGATAATAAAGGGCTCTCATAATCATTAGGCATTCGTGATCTGTTTCCCCACTCTGTATTTAAATAATTAAAATGATGTGACTACTAGAGATCCATGATTATACTGTGGTCACAATAAAGCTCCTTAGCTCCCTGCTAATTTTGCTTCACTGGTGTGGCGAATGACTGGATTGCTCCCCACAAAGCTGGCACATAGTTGTGCTCACATGTGGGGGGAAAGAGGCAATGAGAAACACACCTGGGTGAAGTAGGGCCACTTCATTCACCACCACCCCATGATTCTTATGGGAAATTGCATACAAAAATGCATCCATTAAGAAGAAATAAGGCCCAAATTGCATACAGATTTCAATTCACACTTTTGAAATAAATAAAAATCACAAATGGATAAAGAAATTGGGCACAGTGAATTTAAGGTTGGGAAAGTAGGTAACTGAGAGAAATTAAGGTCGGCAGATTCCTCCATCTGTAGTTATATATTCAGCCAAGCCCCACCCTGTGCATGATGTGTGGAGACTGCCAGCATGCCTATGTCCCTGCATCTCCTGCCTTGCTTCTGGGCACATGCAAAGCAACATTCTTCATCCTCATGCCTCTTTGAGCCAAGGAGGAAATGCAGGCTGGATGGGGGATTAAGCATAGGTGAGATAATTTGAGATGTTAGCAGTCTGTTGTTGTTTTTTATTTTTCGGTTTTGAAGTCTTCTTACAGTGGAAGTGGGTGTGGGTGGGTGAACCCCCCACAGGTGATTTTGGCTTGTGTGTATTGAATGAAGCAGTCTGTGCATAAACTCCTTTGAGTACTAATTTTTCTGCATGAAGATAATTCTACAAATGCAGAGGGAATACCCCCCCCCCCACATACATTTTGGCTCATACCCACCCAAACAAAAATAGCAAGAGGGAAATGAAGCTGAAAAACTCATCCAAGAATCTGGCATGTAAATGGGCTTGTTTCCTATTGCCACTGGTTTGATAGGAGCCTAGGAATGCTGTCTTTGGAGAACAGCCATAGCTCAGTGGGAGAGCATCAGCTTTGCATACTTAACGTCCCAAGTTCAATTCCCAGCATCTCCAGGTAAGTCTGGGAAAGACTCCCTGTCTGAAACCCTAGAAAGATGTTCCTCTTTTGATGCACCAAAGGCATCTGATCTATGGGAATCTAATGCTTCTGAAACAGACCAGGATTGCGGCTGTACATCCTTAATCAAATGGTTGTTAAAATTTGCAACACTCTAATGTGCTGTTTTACTTCCAGATCTCCTAATTATTACCATATTTTTCACTCTATAGGACGCACCCGACCATAGGGCGCACCTTGTTTTAGAGGGGGAGAACAAGAAAAAAAAATCTCCCCCTCTCTGCTCAGCGCCCCTTCAGCGAAGCGGCAGGAGAAACAGAGCCCCTTCCATTTCTCCTCCCGCTTCGCTGAAGGGGCACTGCACAGCTCTCCCTCTCTGCTGAATCCAGAAGAGTCTTGCTCTCCCGGCTTCAGCAAAAGGAACCCAAAGCCTTCGGAGCACAGCGTGAGTTCCCGCTGTGCTCCGAAGGCTTCAGGGAGCACTCCCTCTGCGCTTCGGAGGCTTTGCATTTCTATCGCTGAAGCCAAGGAGCCTGCATTGGCTCCATAGGACGCACACACATTTCCCCTTAATTTTTGGAGGGGGAAAAGTGCGTCCTATAGAGCGAAAAATACGGTATACTAAGAAAGTTGTGAGAAACTCATTCCTTTATTTGACCATTTATTCCCATCTACTTCCAATTTCTATGGATAGATTTAATACCATGCAAGCGTCCCGGTATACCTCCCTCTTTTTTTTTCTTTTTTTTTGCGCAAGAGCCTGGTGGCCATTTTGGGTGCTGTGATTTCATGCCAAAATCTCACCCCCCCAAAAAACCCACTTTCTTTGGGGCCACTGTCTTGTCGGCTTTCCAAAATGTGTGTTTTTGGGCGCTATGCAAAAAAGTGTGTCTTTGGGGCTCCATGATCTCATGCAAGAATATGGCTGGGAATACATGCATCCTGGTTTTGGGACTCAACATATTAGAGGGTATGGTATATTTGTGTATCTATGCAAATCTGAACCATATTTTTTGCATTTACAACTGGGAGATTCCCCTCCCCTTAAAAAGAAAAAACCAATGACGGGATGCACAAGGTAATTATTTTGTTCCTGTTGTCTTGAAGCCACATCATGGTCCCCACTGGGAAGTGCTCACTGGGAAAAGACAATCTGGTACAGTCACCTAGCAGTCAATGGGAAAGAGCTGCTGTCCTCAGCAAAGCTCCAAATGCCATAGGAAGATTAGCAAATATTTCCCAGGGAGGGCCTCACTCTTTTATTTGATCAAAATATTGAGGAGGTGGGAATCAGCCACTTGGGGAAAACTATGAGCAAGAAAACCTGGGAAAGGAGGGAGAGGGCTTTTTTAAAATGTTCACAGCACATCTCCATATGTATATCCTGTACAGATCATCACCATGCACCTCAAATTCTGCCGCCAACACCACCAGTCTAAACTAGGATGGCCCTCCAAATATTGTTAGACTGTAACTCCCATCATCTCTGACCATTGGCCATGCTGGAAAGGGCTGATGGGAGCTGAGATCTAACAACTCCTGGAAGGCCACCAGTTTCCCATGCCTGTCCTGCACAAGAAGCGCACATGATTTCTAAAGGCAAAGCTATGCAAATAAAACCTATCTGCATAATTTTAATTTATGTGTGTAACATTTTCTGCAGAATTTGGGATCACAGAGCTTTCTCCTGCTTTGGAATTAGGGAGCTTTGGAGGCATTGAGAGACCGTCTCTGTGCATCACTAGCCTCAGGCATCCACCTGGGCAATGCCAGGAACCGAAGGATTAAGTTATCGGTGCCCTTCTGATTTATGCAAACGCCTGCTCAGCTTCCTAATATGAAATCAGTTCCTGTCATCATCTGTATTTTTTATTCTGAGCCACAACACTAAAACACTTGGCAGTGATTACAAATAGGAAAGTTATTTTTGTGTGTGTGCCAAGTCTACACCATTGAAACTTAATAGCATGGTGTAATGGAACCCTACGCTGATGTGTGGCATATTTAATATCCATCTTTCTTAGAAATAACAATGTTCTGAAATTAGAAAGGACTTTAGCAACGAAATAATTAATGTGGATAACCATCATAAATGCCACAAACGGAAGAAATACAGATGGTAGTGAACCGTGATTGTTAATACTCTAACCTGTTGTGACAGAACTTTAAAAATTGAAACCCTGTTCCCCAGAGGCCAGTGAATGGAGGCTTAGCCAGAGAGAAAAGAGAGCTCCTTTCTAATTACATTGCTCCCTCTCATTACCCATCTCCCAGTTGGTTACGCACACTCTGTTACGTGAGCATCCATGTCTAGTAGAGCTTATTAACAGAGGAGCAAAGTTCCCTTCATTATATTGGCTTCTCTCTCTTTTTCCTTTCGCCAGCCGTGCCTGGTGAAGGCTACACCACTAGGCCCCTGCTGCTGTGGTGCCAAGCAGAGGTGCAACTTCATCTTGTAGTGGTAGTAATTGATGGTTAAGCACATGATCTGTAGGCAGAAGGTCCCAGGTTCAATCCCTGGCTTCCCTAGTTAAAAGACTCAGGTGGGTGGTGAGAAGGACCCTGAAGAACTGCTATCAATCAGAAGGCACCATGCACTATGATAAGGTCTTTATCTCCACACTGGAGCTTAGAAGCCACAGGGCCTGCTGGATTCTGCCAAGTGTCTCCTAACATAGAATGCTGCCCCCCCCCACCCCATAGGGTCATGTAAGATGTTAAGTCTGAGTCAGCAACTCCCATCAGCTCCAGCCCCAGCCAGCAGTGGTGATGGGATTTGTCATCCACAAAGTCAGGAGGGCACCAGCTTGGCTACCATTTCCCAGCATAGAGAAAAGCTGCAGCTGTTGATTGTCCACATGTAGTTAATGATAACGGAGGAAGTCTATCTAAGAAAAGGTGGCAACTCTGGATATGGAAAGAACCCCAAGTGATTCATTTTATTCATATGACTACAGTGGTACCTTGGGTTACATACACTTCAGGTTACAGACACTTCAGGTTACAGACTCTGCTAACTCAGAAATAGTACCTCGGGTTAAGAACTTTGCTTCAGGATGAGAACAGAAATCGTGCTCCGGCAGCACGGCGGCAGCAGGAAGCCCCATTAGCTAAAGTGGTGCTTCAGCTTAAGAACAGTTTCAGTTAAGAATGGACCTCCGGAATGAATTAAGTACTTAACCCGAGGTACCACTGTATGTTTAGCCTGGGGAAGAGATTAAGGTGAGACATGAAAGCTGTTTTCAAACATCTGAATGGGTGCAACACAGAATGTGGAGCACACTTGTTAACTTTTGCTCTAGACAGCGGGGCTAGAACAAATAGGTGGAAATTTCAGGGAAGCAGCGGTCAGCTGAGTATCAGAAGAAAGCTGACAATGAAAGCAGTTGGACAATGCAGCAGACTGCCTCATGAGAATGTGGGCAATCTTATGCTGGAGATGGCTATCCATCAGGGCTACCATAGTTGCATCCTGTGTTGCAGATCCTGTACTGAGCAGGTGGCTGGACTAGACTATCTCTAAGTTCCCTTCTAACTCAAGCCTATTATTCTGTTGTGTGATGTTGTTGACCATGGGTAGGCAAACTAAGGCCTGCGGGCTGGATCAGGCCCAATTGCCTTCTGGATCTGGCCCGCGGATGGTCCAGGAATCGCCGTGTAGATCACCAGCGCATGTGTTCTTTCCCTCTCCCTCACATGGTGGCACCAGCGCCTGCTCCCTCTCTCCTCCTGGCTTCTCCCCGCCCTGCCTAGAGGAGAAAGGGGGCTGGGCTTTGTTGGTGCCAGCAGCAGCAGCAGCAGCAGCAGCACTCGAGCGGCCACCATTTTAAGCAGCCCCTCTCCGGAGCCCTTTTGGCGCCTCTCATTGTCCTGACGCCAACGCTAGCCCCTGCCGCTGGCAAGACACAGGTAAGCAGCCACCGGGGCTCGTGGTGCTCTTGCATCATCCACCCCCCCAAATATAGTCCAGCCCCTCACAAGGTCTGAGGGATAGTGGACCCCCTGCTGAAAAAGTTTGCTGACCCCTGTTGATTTATGGGACCCTCAAGCTTTCACTTTAAGTAGAATTTAATGGCTACTCTAGAAGAGTGGTCGTATCTTCAGGAAGCTCCTGGACCATTGTAATCCAATACAATTCACTTTCCCAAGCAATATTTTGAAATGGGGAGTCTCTCCTGCTTACACCCTAACTTCATGGTGTTCTATATCTGCTTCTCCCCCCATTATCTTTCTGATTGGCAAGGCAGCTGCTATGCCCAACCTGTGCTTCCCAGCACAGCTGTGATTCCTCTTGCCTGTCACCATTAAAAGCCTTTTCATCTCTGTTCGGAGCAGTTTCTCGTTATCATTTCTCCCTTTCCGATTAGGCCAATGGTTCCATGTGGTCGTTTAGCTGTCAGCCGTCCTGAGTGGCGGCCTTGCATTTCTAAACGTAAGCATGCCTAGGAGAGTCTGTTGCACAGCTGTTCTGCCAGCAGGCTGACCCCAGAGATTCACCAGGTGCCCTGCCATGCTCTGGGAAATGAGTGTTGCAGATTTTGTATCTCACACTGGGGGGAAACAAAAAAGGCTGCCTTTTTGCACTCCACTGGACAAATTCATGGGAAGAGGAGGGGGATGGCCCAAGCAGGGATTTCACATCTTATTAATTGTAAGCAATAAGATTTTCACAGAGTAAGTAGATTTAACTAAACTGGAGCTGTGAAATTGGCATTAACCCTCTAAGGTAGGCAGTCATTTTTAAAGTATGCCTTAAATTTAGTTTAGAATAATTTTATAGCAGAACTCGTTTCAAATTTGCAGAACTTTTTTTTAAGGTTCACTTCATCAAGAGCACTGGACAGCTATGTCACCTTTCTTATTTTGTGCACTGAAATTAAAATTAAAATGGAAGCTAGGCCCAGCTATTTGATGTTGCTTGGAGTGCTGGTATATAAAGAAAAAGTAAAGTAAAAGTAGGGAAGGGTAAACATCAGTGGTGGGCCCTATGGAGTGC